TTCCTAGCATCTGATCACTTCTACCCACTCACGTTATTCCCACCCTGGCCATCCCCCACCTAGAGACCTACACCTCACACTTGCAAGTCTCTTCAGCGCTACTCTTTCCCTTTCCAACCCGGGGTGGCCTTTCAAAACTGTAAATGGCATCATAGGACCCTCTGCTTCCCACTCTCCAGCCCCCGCCACCTCCGCCCACAGATTGTCCCACGGCTGCTTCTCCCCATCTCTCAGGACTCAGCCTGAACACCGCTCCCTCCAGAGGCCTTCCCCAGCCACAGTCCTTGGTCCTCACTCAGGGTAGTGTAAGAACCCAGACCTTTGACACTACTCCAATGGGAGGAGGGCTTTACTTCCCCTCCCCTGCAGCTGAGCTGGAGCTAAGACAGCTTTGGGCAATAGAATCTTGGGGGTGACACTATGCCAGCCTGGTGTTTATGACCACTGAGGCTGCCATCCTGCTTTTCGTGATCCCTGAGCCACCATGCCCAAAGTCTGAGGTGTGGCTAGAAGAAGAGGAAGTCCAACAGAGTTGTCCCCACCAAAGTGCTGGGCATGTGACTACAGCCGTCTTGGATTCTCCAGACCAGACCAGCCAGCAGCTTGAGAGTACCAAACCACTGCAGTCAATGCCTTGCAGAAAGCAGAAAAACATCCCAGCTGAGCCCTGTCCAATTCCCGTTAAATCATGAGATATGTTAAATGTGGGGGATTTCTGTTATGCAGAGCAGATCACCAGAACATTTCACATTATGTTTACGTCCATAATGGCAATCATTTGGTTACAGTTTGTCTTTTTTTGATTGCTTTTGTATATTTTATTCTCTCCTCCACTAGAAGTCTCCACTAGAAGGTAAGCTCTGGCATGGCAGGAGCAAAGACTCTACTGGCCACCACTGGAAACTCAGGGACTGGCCCGTGGTGGATGCTCAATAAGCACTGGTTGAATAAGCACATCAGTGTATTACGGGCATCAGAATCAGAGACGACTTAACAGAGGAAGTGACACCTAAACCTGAGGGCTGAGGGCAAGGAAGTGCGGGGGCCAAAGGGCACAGCCACAGAGCCAGTGCCTCCCCAGCCACACCAACTACGGAGCATGCCCAAGCCATGCTCTTGTCTCTCAAGGTCTGAGAGTAGACACTGTATCTCATTTATCTTTGTGCACAGTCCAGGAAAATAAGAGGTCCTTGATGCACACATTTCAAATAAACGAAGGAACAGGTGGCTTTGCAGGAGAACAGCTGAGCTGGAAACCAGGCAACCTGGATTTTCAAGCTCAACACCTCACCGTTGTGTCCTTGGTAAAATAAGCCACTTGGCTCTTCTGTTGCTCTGTTCACTAGAGATAAAACCATCGCTTCCCTCACTACTTCTCTGGGCCAACATCTGGATTATAAGAGCGCCAAGGTGCCACAGAGCTTTGCAAAAAGTTTGCTAGCACTAAAATATGTAACATTGGAAAGGAGATGGATGATATTGTTCTCTAAATGCTCATCCTGCCCCAGGGAAACCCTCTGACCCTTTCTTTGAGTCATGGGAGCGTGGAACTCGGCCCCGGTGAGCACAGCCCTGAACACGGCACCTCGTGGGCAGCTCAGGCTTTTCAATTGCCCGGGTCAACAGGGAACAGCCAGGGCCTCAGACACTGGACTCAGAGTCAAAGAACTTGAATTCCCTCTCTCTCTTTTTTTTAATGTTTTAAATCTTATCTTTCATTATAAAATACACCAGGTATACAAAAGAATGTATAAAGGTATATGCATTTTGTCTAAAGAAAAATAAAATGGATTCCTTTGTATCCAGCACAAGGGCTGAGAGACAGAACATTGCAAGTCTATATTCCAGAAGACCCTATGCAATTCTCTCTCCCCTGAAAGGAGAAGACGCATTCTCCACCACGATTTTCAACTCTGTTAATCCTTTCCTTGCTTTTGTTTATGGTCACTACTCCCTACAACCCTCTTCAAGTTGCCTTGTTTGAAGCTTCACATCAATGAAAATGTACATACTGTACATATTCTTGACATGTTTCTTTTAATTTAACATTTTATTTTTGAGATCCACCCATGTTAATGTTTGTACCTGTGGATGACCTGACTTCTTATGCCAGTTGTGCCCTTCGTTTTCTGTAAGATCTTGGGCAAAACAATTTGCTGTCTGCACTAAATCCATCAACCAGGGCGGGTGGTATAGACCAAGTAAATCCTCGCCCTTCCTCCCTCCCACTCATTCACAAAAACCCCAGTTCTGCCCAGCACTGGACCTACTGCAGTCACGACAAACAACACCCAGGCCCTGCCCCCAAGGCCCTTGGAAGGCAGATGGACACCTGAAAATGTTCTATCTTTCAGACAGCAAAGCAAGACTTCTCAGGACAGCCAGGATGAAGGACCCAAAGCACTGAACAGGCCGAGTGCACTGAGCTCCAAAGAGCTAGCCAGAGGTCAGTCAGTGTCCTGGGGTGAAAGGGTGAGTCCAGCCAGGCCCTAGAGACTATCCGTTTCCAGAAGCCAAGATGGTCTTACCATCCCATTAGCATTGTGCAGAGGGCCTGCTCCAGCTGCACTGGCCTGAGCCAACCCCCTAATTAGACTTTCATAGTGTGTCAAGCAACCTGCTTGGCCCGATTGCCAGCTGGGGCTCCCGTTCCGTATGGTGGCCTTGGTTAATGAACCCATGAGGGGCTGGCCGAGCTCATTATAGGCAATGCAAGGAAACAGGGTACCCTCCCAGTCCCTCCTGCCCCCTCCTCTCCCCCTCTCCCCATGTTCACACTGAGAATGGGAAGGGAGCTGTTTCCAAACCAAGAGGGAGAAGGGCAAGAGAGGGGCCCAGCCAGGCCCACCACACAGCCCTGTCTGCAGCTGGGGAGAGCCGGAGATGTGGTGGCTCCATGACAGCTCAGGTAGAGCAGCATGCGCTGTCCGCCCAGGTGGTTTAGGGGATGGTCCAGATTCCACAGCTGCCCTTAGGCTGCACCCAGGCCTTTTCCTATCCCAGGCCAGGGAGACAGAACAGCAGTGGAAAGTTCAGTACTGTCTCTTTCCAATTACTGTCCACAGTCTTGTCTGGATGAGCTGCTGGCTCGGAGTTTCACTGTACTCATCTTACAATGGGGTAGTGATACCCACCCTGCACAGAGTAAGCGCTCAGTTAATGCGCTCAATAAATTATCACTGTTGTTGCTATTACTAAAAGACAAGTGATAAAAGACTCCAAAATGTGAGCTGTGGCTGCTTTTTTGAGCAGTGGGATGGTAAGTGATAGTTTTTGTATTACTTTTCTACATGGTATACCATGAGTATTTTACCTTTAGTGTTTGAAAAAGCACAAATTTTCTCCAAAAACGTACCAGACAAATGAGACTTTCTGATATATTTGTGTGTGGAAGGGCCTGCAGCAGGCCTACAAGAATGTTCTTAGTAGAAGCTTTCTCCTGCAGAGAAAGTTTGAACAGATGAGATTGGGTGAAAAAAGCAGCTCAGTAGGGCGGCGCCTGTGGCTCAAAGGAGGTAGGGCGCCAGCCCCATACACCAGAGGTGGTGGGTTCAAACCCCGCCCTGGCCAAAAACTGCAAAAGAAAAAAAAAAAGGAGCTTGGTATTTTCAGGTATGAATTTAAGTTTTGCTCTTTAATAAAGCGATTTCTTATCTCCAAATGCCAAAGAAAGAAGGCCCGTAGTGAGTATCCAAATGCTGTGGCACTGACAAAGGGAGATGGCTAGAGGATCTTTAAGGAAGGGAGCTCCCTGGACAGAGGAGGATGCAAAAAATGGATGCAGGAAGGTGAAGGCAACCCAAGTGTCCATTGAAGGATGAACGGAAAACTAACATGTGGTCTATCTATATAAAGGAGTATCTTTAGTCTTAAAAAGAAGGAAACTCTAACATAAACTAACAAACAGATGACCCTGAAGACAGTACACTAAGTGAAGTAAGACAAAAAGACAGTTAAGGAAGATGAAAAACGTTCTGCAGATGGATGGTGGTGATGATTATACAATAATGCAAATGCACTTGATGCCCCGAACAACTGTACATTTAAAAATGGTTAAGACGGTAAATTTCATGTTGTGAGTGCTTTACCACAATGAAAAATATATATATAAAGAGAAATGCAGGATGGGACCCAGAGGAAAGGGAAGCAGGTTAGCTGAGATGAAGCATGTCGCTTGTCTCCTGGAGTTAAGGGTCATTTGCTCGAGAAATGATGCAAGGAGGAGGGGAGAATCCAGAAAACGGGGCTGAGGGAGAGACAGCACTGGCCAGGGTGACCTGAAGAATGGTGAAGGCTGTCCCAGTCAGGTTTGCTGCCTCCCACCTGCACCTGGCAGGCTGGAGCCAGCAAGTACTGACTGCAAAAGGTTTTCTAGCTGGAGGATTCAAAGCCCACCAAGTCAGCACCCAAGCAGAGGGAGCCTTGGTGAACTCAGAGCTTTGGGTGTGAGAAGTCAGGACCCAGGAGAGTTTGTGCATTTTAAATATGTGAATTAGGGAGGATAAGAGCGCTGGAACAGAGGTCCTCTAAGGGAGCGGGGAAGAGGCATGTCTGGAGAATCAGTTTCATGAAGGAGTTCTAAGGTCATCATGCCTAAGGAATTTGGAAGCAGACTGGCTCCCAAATAAAAGATGACTGGATAGGGTCAGGATGTGCTGAAGGAAGGTGGGGTCTCCTCTGGGCACACATGGAGGCTAGCTCAGTGCTGGGTGCTAGATAATAATAATAACAGCAACAACAATTTACTGAGCACCCACTGTCTGGGATAAGCACTTTTCTTCGGTTATTCATTTATTTCTTTCAGCAACCTTCTGCACAAAGTACTTCTAGCTTCACTTTACACAAGAGGAAGACTGAGGCTTAGAGGTCTAAGTAACCCAGTACCTCAAAGGCACACACTCTGCCCACAACAAGGCTGGGCTGCCTTTCTGCCCTGCCACCAACTGTCTGCCCACCCCAGTGCTGCCTCCCACCCCTGAGGCCCCCGGCCAACTTCTCACTTGAACTGGTGCTCTCTGGAGCTGCGGATTTTGGAGGAGAACCGCTCAGCCAGTTTCTCCAGGCTGCGGGAGTACTCGAGCTCAATCTCAGCTTTCCGGCGGAAAAACTCCTGGAGGTCTTGAAGCAGCTGCAGCCGTGACTCCGATTGTTGCTCCAGACATTTGAACTGCTCCACCAGCTGCGTGCGGATCTCTGTGGGCAGAGGCAAGGGCAGGAGTATTAGACTGGTGTGGGGGTGGCAGTGAGACCCGCCCTGCTGACCTGGGCACTGCAATTCTGGCAGCTGCCTCCCCATCACCGCCACCCAGAGCATCTCCAAGACCACTCGGGGATTAGACCTTGCAGGGCAAAGCCCTGGCACAAAGATTTGGCACATTCTAGTTTTTGTCACTTGGAGTAACCTAATATTTCCCAAATTCGAATCGCCACATGTCACCACCACAATTTGTGCCATATTCACACGTCCCAGCATTACTTTTTCCATCTGATCTAGTGCACTGACTCGCTTTTCTTACTGAAATGATCTTGTTTAAAATGAAGTTTTCTATCATTACAGCAAAATGGAAAACTAGGACCCTTGCAGTCTGGGACACAGGAAATAATAAATGAAAATGAAAATTTTATAAAATTCTTCATATCAACCTAAGCTGCTGGATTTTTTTTTTTTTTTGAGACTGCCTCAAGCTATGGCCCTGGGTAGAGTGCTATGGCATCACAGCTCACAGCAACCTTCAACTCCTGGGCTGAAGTGATTCTCCTGCCTCCACCTCCCAAGTAGCTGGGACAGGTGCCTGCCAAAATGCCCGGCTATTTTTTGGTTGCAGCTGTCATTGTTGTTTGGCAGGCCCAGGCTGGATTCGAACCCACCAGCTCAGGTATATGTGGCTGGCACCTTAGTAGCTTGAGGCACAGATGCTGAGCTGAGCTGCTGGATTTTTATCAACGAAAGGAAAATAGCAGTGTGAGAGTCATTAAGAAAGACTTTCTCAGGCAGCGCCTGTGGCTCAGTGAGTAGAACGCCGGCCCCATATACCAAGGGTGGTGGGTTTGAACCCAGCCCCAGCCAAACTGCAACAAAAAAATAGCCGGGCATTGTGGCAGGCGCCTGTAGTCCCAGCAGCTTAGAAGACTGAGGCAAAAGAATCACCTAAGCCCAAGAGCTGGAGGTTGCTGTGAGCTGTGACATCACGACATTCCACCAAGGGCGACAAAGTGAGACTCTGTCTCAAAAAAGAAAGAAAAGAAAGACTTTACTTTCTCCAGATATAGTCAGGGCTGAAAAGGGCATGCTGTTCCCTCTTGGGTTTCAGTGTTATTCAAAGTCATGTCTGTTGCTCCTCTTTAAAATCACCTTGAATTTCATGTATAAACATCTCAGGTGGCACGAGAGGAATGTAGCTCTCACATCAGGAAATGCTGATTGATCAAACCAGGTCTGTCCAACCAAGGCAAAAGTTCAAAAGCTGGGAGCTGGAGTTTAAAAGTCACAGCCAAATCCCAATAACCACAGCCAATTTCATCACCTTCAAGCCCATCATATTTTCACTGTCCCGATGTATTGACTCCTTCCAGGCCATCCTATGAGCTGCCCAAACAGCTCAGCCTCTCACACCAGCAAACTGCTCAGAAATAAGGTTCTCCTGCGTCTGAGTGTTAAGGCTAAGTCCTCAGCATGGAATACAAAGCCGTTCACCCTGCAGCCCCAAACTGAATTGAAAACAATTTAAGCCAGTCTGAAATGCCAAACCTCCCCTGCCTAAATGTGGGCCCTGTCTGGGATTGGGGGCCCGTGTCATTTCAGCATCCTTCAAAAAGCTGGTCCTCACACTGAGGCAGACCTACTCTGGAGGATAGAAAGGCATCCCAAGGGTATCCAGGCAAAGGGAGTTGTAAGGGAGTCAACGTGAGGCCCTCTGCTTCCACTCCCTCTCTTTCCTAAAACTGCTCTGCCTGACACCGTGCCCCGTTCTGGGTGGCATGGCCAGTCTCCTTTCCCACCTCCCTCAACCTGTTCCCTCTTTTACAGGAGAAAGACCAACTTCTCCAGAATCTGACCATGGTGCAGTGTCCCAAGTCTCAAGACATCGGGTTGCCAAAGAAAAAAGGGACAATTTAAAATCTTAGTATTAGGTTGAGCACAGTAGCTCACACCTATAATCCTAGCACTCTGGGAGGCTGAGGCAGGTGGATTGCTTGAACTCAGGAGTTTGAAGCCAGCAGAGCAAAAGTGAGATTCTGTCTCTACTAAAAATAGAAAAATAAGCCAGGCATTGTGGTGGGCTCCTGGATTGTTTGAGCCCATGAGTTTGAAGTTGCTGTGAACCATGAACCAGGGCATGCTAGCCTGGGGCAACAGAGTGTGACTCTTGTCTGAAGAATAAATAAATACATAAATAAATAAACAAGAAAATAAAATCCTGGCATTAGCAAACCTTCCTTTAATCAAGGGATCATAACCTGGACCAGCAGCATCGATGTCATTGGTGGGCTTAGAAGAAACTCAGAATCATCCAAACTCATCAAGATGCATGCATTAGATGTGTAAAACTTTTTGTATATTAATTATACTACAATAAAGACTAAGAATATGCAGAACAGAGTCTCAGATCCCAGCCCAAACCATTGGATTCAGAATCTGCATTTTAACAAATCTGCACTTTAACAATCTCCCAGGTGGTCCTGTGCCCCTGAAGATGACAAGCACCGCTGACAACTGCCCACCCATCTCATTCTGAGAAGCATTTCCCATACAATGTTATGTTTTAAATTTAATAATTTATCAAATGTATAAAATATTAATTTTACTTTGATGAGTTGTGTGTTACTGATCACTTCAATGATAAATCAATCCAAGAGAAAAATTCTGGCCAGGCTCGGTGGCTGACACCTGTAATCCCAGCACTCTGGGAGGCAGAGGCAGGTGGGTTGCTTAACTCAGAAGTTTGAAAAAAAAAAAAAGAGGGGGGCACCTGTGGCTCAAAGGAGTAGGGCGCCAGCTCCATATGCTGGAAGTAGCAGGTTCAAACCCAGCCCCAGCCAAAAACTTCAAAAAAAAAAAAAAAGTTTGAGACCAGTCTGAGCAAGAACAATACCCCTGCCTTACTGAAAATAGAAAAAAACCAGCCAGGCATTGTGGCAGGCACCTGTAGTCCTAGCTAATCCGGAGGCTAAGGCAAGAGGATCACTTGAGCCCAAGAGCTTCAGGGTCTGTGAGCTATGACACCACAGCACTCTACTGTCTCCAAAAAAAAAAAAAAATCCTAAGAGTTTCACAGTCAAAGGAAAAAAATTTAAATGTCTATTTCAATTTGTATACATAGGGTAAAAAGAAGTATAATAATTAATTTTAAAAATCTCAAGCATAAAACTATATGAAGATACAAATGGGTGAAGGAAGTGGAAGGGAACTGGGAATTCAAGAAGGTAAAGAAAGAAACAATGTAAAATGTTTTAGCTGTTTTAGAAATTTTTGATGGACGATAGAAATTAACATGTGGTGGTACTAATCCCATGACCTAGCAATGCCATCCATGGGTGTGCATGCTGAAAAGAAATCGAGGCTTATAGCCACAAAAAATATACACAAGAATGCTCAGAGTATCTTTTATAACCACATATTAGAAACAACCCTACCTGTCTAGGAAGAGTAGAAGGCATTTTTCAAACATGAGATATTTATTAAGTGAAATACTATATAGCAATGAAACGGAACACAACTGCTCCCTGCAGCAACACCCATGAAACTCACAGACTTTATGGTTATTCAAAGGTGCCAGAACAAATGAGGTTATGCAAAACTAGCTGATGGTGGTAGTGGTCAGAAAAGGGGCCACTTTTAGGGGGCAAAAGGGTGCCTTCAGGAGTGCTGGAGATGTTCCATAGCTTGACCTGGGTGGTAGTGACACCAGTAAAAAGCAGGTCAGCTGCACACTTAAGATCTATGCATTCTGCTATATATTGATAGATGGGAGGCTTCAGTAAAAAGACAAAGTTAAAACTCATGTTATTTAGTTTCTATTTGATCTATTTTTAAAAGAATAGCATGGTATAATGTCACCCTAAAATGTCAATATTTAAAACATGGCAGAAATTATATCCTTTGTAACTGATCCAATTTAGAATGAAGCATTCTAAGTTAGGTGTCAAGTTAAAATGTGTGAAACAGAAGAGATTCCCCACCACCACCACCAAAGTCCACAGAGAGGGGTAGGCAAGCGCAAATTACAAAACCCTGCGTTAGTGTTCACATCAAGTGCTGCTCCCCCCAGGAAGGTCTGGCGGCCCTCTGCTGAATTCCCATGGTACTTAGAGTTAATCTCAGACTGCCTGGTACTGTTTTACTTTGTTTTGTTTTTTTCATTCTTTCATATATGCATGTCACATCTGCCTTAACTCCTCAATGAAATTTAAGCTTTGAGTAGCTTACCAGCACCCAGAGTCATAGGTTATCTATATCTATATAGCAAATTACTACTTACTTTTATCAAGTACTTTTACCCAAGTGTATTCCATGCTGTGACCATGAGAGTCTTGCCTGACACAGAAATACAGACCCATGAACACACACACCATACATACAAAACACACAAGAAACACCTCGTACTCAAACCACTAACCCCATAAACGTACACACCTTTGATGTGCTATTATCTTGTTTTTACAGATGAAGAAACCAAGATGTATAAACCAAGATCAAGGACTTGTCCAAGGTCATATTTTATTCTAAAAACCGTAACAAACAACCAGACCAGGCTCAGTGGCTCCTGCCTGTAATCCTAGCACTCTAGGAGGCTGAGGCAGGTGGATTGCTTAACTCAGGAGTTTGAGACCAGCCTGAGCAAGCATGAGACCCCAACTCTACTAAAAATACAAAAACTAGCCAGGCATTATAGCAGGTGCCTGTAGGCTGAGGATCTTTTGAGCCCAAGAGTTTGAGGTTGCTATGAGCTATGAAGCCACAACACTTTACCCAGGGTGACAGAGTGAGACTCTGTCTTAAGTAAATAAATAAATAAATACCATCACAAACTACCCAGCTATGCCTCTCAGGTGATCTATTTGTTGAATTAGATTGAGATGTCCCCAAACTCTGCCATGTCAACACACAGTTATAAAAGCACTTTCTAGCCAGGTTGGTGGCTCATGCCTGGAATCCCAGCACTTTGGGAGGCCAAGTCAGGAAGATCGCTTGA